TCTACCACGCGCAGGACTTGGCGGTGCGCTCCTACGCGAACGCCGCAAAGCCGTTGGCGTCGACGGTGCCTGCCACGGCCACCTTTGCCACAGCGGCCGCCAACAAGAGCGACAACAACGGCCCGCAAAAAAATGACGCTAACGATGGCGGTGGCAATACACCGCGGTACACGACATGTGTTGCGGTTCCTGGGGGTGTCGTGACAAACCTTTACCGTCACGTGCCCCTCGCCACGACGTTTCGTTGGTGTCGCTACCTTTACCTGCTCTTCATGCGCACAGCACGTGAGGGAAGCCAGGTGGTGGTGAACTGCTGCGTGCGAGAGGAACTAGTGAATGGGGGGTACTATCAGAACTGCCGCTACAGCCCCTCTGGCCTTTCCGCTGCCGCGTGTAACGTAGACGAACGCCAAAGTGTGCTGGCGTGGGTGCGGCGAAAGATGCAGCCGTACATGCGGTGGGAGCGTTAACAGGAGCGGTAGCGGTTAGAAAAACTGTACGCCTGGCGAGGCCTCTGTCGGGAGGGAAAAGGGCATTGCATGAAGACCTGCACGTCCACGTGCGTTGAGTTGCGGCATGCCCGCTATTTCTTCTCATGGTCTGGGAGGGGAGGTGGAATGCATGGAGAACGGGTCCGGTAGATGTGTTTGCGCTTGTGAGCTGCGTGGGCGCACGGGAGGAGTGTTGTTCTCTCGCCTCGCGCCCACCCACGCCCCCGCATTTGCGGTTTGTTGGGGTATTGTTGCTCTTGGGGTTTTTCGTTCGCCGCCCCGGTCTCCTCTGGCAACGCGGCGAGGGGAAGAGAATATATATATATATAATCATCCCTGGGGAATAGTTGGGTGGGCGGACGGAGTTAAAGGCAATATCCAGCGCGCGAGAAGAAGAAGTGGGGGGGCGTGCGTACTCCCCGCCGCCGCCGTCTTTCGTGCTGCTTGTCCTCTCCGCCTTCTTCTCTCGCTCGGACTGGAGGACGCCGAGAAGTGTGTGTGTGTGTGTGTGTGTGTGTCTGTGTGTGTGTTTTGGTTTGCCTTTGACTGCGCGTTGTCCCTGCGACTTATTTGCTTCTTTTGACGCGGACAGGTAAGTAGTGGGAGGAGGGCAGCGATTTCACGCAAATGGTCAAGATCTCACACGACGAGTCACAGCGCATCAAGACGGCCTTCCTGTCCTACGCGCAGGGCCAAAGCAAGGTCACGGAGCCGATGATTGACCAGCTCATCTGCGGCGCCATCCCTGGCCTCTCGTGGGAGCAGCTGCAGGAGAAGAAGAAGGGCCGTGGGGCGGCGGACGGCTACGACCGTAGTGCCTTCTTCGCCCTCGTCGCGTCCGACGAGCAGTACGTGCGGTTCATTGCGCAGCACTTCCCGTGTGCGCCGGAGGAGGAGAAGCCACCGGAAATTGACGCCCTGGAACTCAAGACGCAGAAGGGGTTTTAGTGCGAGGAGGAGCGAGTGGAAGAAAAGCAAGCAGAAACAAAAACAAAAAAAATTTGCTACCACGACGCATGGCTCTGGCGGCAAATGTCAATATGTGTGTGTGTGTGTATATATATATGCATGTTTGTGTGTTTGTCTGCGACCAATGATGCATGTAAACAGAAAATAAAAGGGAAACAACGAAAAGGCAGGTGTACGTGTACGTTTGAAGGGGTGCGATCGGAAATTGAGGCGGAGGAGGGAAGGGAATTCAGAAGCTTTTGTTTGTTCTTTGCTTTGTTTTTTTTATTTTTGCTTTATTTTTCCCCTGCCTTCCTCCCTCTGCTTTCCTTCTCCGTTGGGCGCGTGCGTGCGTCGCCGCTTTTCAGAGAACCCGACAAGTCTTTTTACTGGCTCCTTTTCGCTTGCCGCGCAGGGGAACTACTCGCTACGTGAGCAAAACTGCGGTGTTCGCTGCTTTGGTGTTGCGTGGGCGTTTCACACGGCCCCGCCTCTTCTGCCACTTGTGCGTGTATGTCTTTTTCCTCCGCTCCTTCTTCTTCTGCGCCCCCTCGTCCTGCGTCGCCGCGGCGTCGTGTGCGGGCGGGGACCAGTTCACCCTCGTGGCCCTCCGCAGAATACGCACCCCCTTGTCGCCGTGTGAAAGTCTCGCCATTTGCCGTTTCCCCGCAGACGAGAAATGGACGACAACTTGGCCGCTGAGATCGCCATGATAGAGGCAGAGCTCGAGGCGGACCGCCAGTTTCGCGAGCAGCAGCAGCAGCAGCAACAACAGCAGCAGCAGCAGCAGCAGCCGTTCGGCTCCCTGGAGACTGGGGGCGTCTTCGACAGGGCTCCCCCTGCGGAGCGTAACGTCCACCCCGCACAGCGGCCGCGGGCGTTCGCCCACGGCGGCGACCCCGCGGCGGCGGCGCAGCAGAAGCAGGTCGGTGGGCAAGCCGCGATGGCCCCAACGTCGGGGCAACCGCACCAGTTCTCCAAGGATAGCGACGGCCGCTCCGTATTTGTGGGAAACCTGCCGAAGGGCGAGAACGGCGGTCCCACCACCACTCCGGAGGAGTTGGCGCAGTTCTTCGCCGACTGCGGGCAAATCCTGAACTGCACCGTCCTGCGGGACCGCGCGACGGGTGAGCTGAAGGGCACGGCGTACCTCGAGTTTGCCTCCTACACAGCCATGGGGAAGGCCATTGACACAAAGAACAACGCCAGCTTCAAGGGAAGTACCATTATTGTATGTTGACCGTGAGTTCCACCAACTAACCCCTTCTTTTGCTTGCTTGCGCCCTCACTCCTCACTCCTCACCCAGCCACTCACGCAACGCAACGCAACGCAACGCACACGCATTCCCCCCTCCCCTGCGTTTGCTCGCTCGGTCTGTGCGGTGCGGGTGGTGCGTCGAGGCGGAAGGTGGGTGGGGGGCGAGCGAGGGAGGGAGCGGCGCACAGCCCACGCCCCCTCTTTTGTACGCCGCACGGCGCCCCTCCCTATAAAAACCGAAGCAAGGCAGAATAGTGAGTATGCGTGTGTGTGTGTGTGTGGTGAGGCCCAGGCACGTGCCTTTCGAACAAATAAGCGGGCTGTCCAGCACTACAGTTCAATAGTCATCATAACAACAATAAACAGCATCATCAACAACAACAACAACAAAGAAGAAGCTATCGCTATAAGAAATATATAAAATAAGACAGTGGTGGGGGGGGGCGACAGAAAAATATATATATATATTAGATATATATAGCCCCCAATATACAAAAACAAAAACAAAAAACAAAGAACCACCAACACATCAAAAAGAATAAAGAATATATGAATAGAACTGCGTCCGTTATGCGCTTAAACATAAATATATTAGAGAGTCTCATGCCACACGTGCGGCCAGCTCCCGCCTCTCTTACTCTCTCTTCCCCCCCCTTCTCCCGGGCAAACACACACACACACGCACACTGTTCTGCCTTGCTTCGGTTCCTCCCCTCTCGTAAGCGCCTCTCTTTTCTGATGCATCTCAACTGGAACTGAAATTCGTCCTTTGCTTCTCTTTCCCCGTGTGCGTCGACGTGCACTTTGTTTTGTCTCTGTGTGCGTGGGTGTGTGCCTATGTGTGTGTTCTTCTAGGTGACGAAAAAACGCTCTGCCTTCCGCCCCGAGCGGGCACGCGGCGGCAGAGGAGGACGCGGGGCCGGTGCGGCCGCAGGAGACCCATACCAAGCCATGATGGCCCTGATGGGGATGATGGCCGGCGGCGCAATGATGCAACGTGGCAACAGAAGTGTTGGACGCGGGGGGCGGGGCCGTGGCGCGGCGGGGGGTTACACGCCCGCTGCGGGCGGCTTTCAGCCTTTCCAGTAGTACGCGGGAGGGGAGGAGGTTACCACAGACAGTGACGCGGAAATGGCGACGGGTAGAAGAAGCGCAGGTAGGTGTGTGAGGGCTACGTGCGGTCGCAACGTGGAGAGAGTAAGGGAGCCAGAATAAATCTGGGTGAATGGTTCACCTTGCTTCTTTGTTTTTTTCCTCCTTCTTCTTCTTCTTCAGTTGTATGCTTCCTCGTTTATTGCCGTTGTTTTCTTTTTTTTTTCATTCCCTCTCCTTTGCTCTCGCTCTGTGTGTCTGTCTGTGTCTGTGTGCGTGTTTGTTTGTCTTTGGCGGGGTGGCCGGCCTTCGGCATCCTGCAGGATGGCACGGGAGTAAAAAGAAGGCAACCGAGCTGGCGAGATATTGCGAGGGAATGTGTTAAATGCCAAATGAAAAGCTTTACTGTGTGCAATCGGGAGGGGATAAAAACAACGAAAACAACGTAAGAAGAGAAACGATAATAGGACATGAATACCCGCGGAAGTTGTCCTCTGATGCTGATTCGCCACTGCTAGCGGAGCATTCCGTGCACACTTCACCCGTAGAGCCCAAACGCATACACATACACACACACACATATATATATATATATGTATGCATGCAGAAATCTCGTCTGCGTGCGTGCGTGTGTGTGTGTGTGTGTGTGTGTATGTGCTACGGGTGATGGGTGCTCGCCTCCCATCTCCGTCCAGTGGTGATGTTTGCTTTCTGCAGCTGTTGCTCTTGCTGTTGTTGTTTTTGCCTCCATGACGCCTCGCGGGGGTTGGGGTTTGGCCGCGTTTAGAGAAAAAGAAACAGTAGAATAGGGGGAGGAGTCTGTAGATAGATAGCGAGGGGGGGAGAGAGAGGGAAACGACCGAGCGGGCGAGCCCAGACGAGGAGGGAGCATACACATACACACTACATAGTCGGTTGCGTAGCGGGGCGAAGGAGCTCCCGGGAGTAAAAAGGGATGGCGACCGTCAACCCGGAGGGGAAATGGAATTGGGTGCTCATGTCACTCTACGCATACATCACCACGAAGGAGTACCTCAAACTGGGAGGCTCTCTAGCCGCCGTGCAGGCGCGATCCTCGATGCGGAGGGCAAAGTTGTTTTGGCGCGATGCCTGGCAGTCCATTCTGCCGCCCAGCCCCAGCTGGAAGGACGGCAGGTGTCCTCGGCCGGACGACACTCTCGACGAGGCTATCGAGTATCTTCTCGCACCCCTCCTTTCTGAGATTGCCGCCATGGCGGAGATTACGCATGGGCAGTCCATAAGCATGACACTGTTGAGGGCATTTAGGAAGCAGTCGTGCCTCGTCGCCGGAGCCCCGCGGGAGCACCAAGTGGTGTTTGAGATGGCGGAAACAGATTCGGCGCTTCCAGCCATGCGGCTCCGCGGTGCCCCATTGAACGTGACGTATGCAGAGGCGACGCTTTTAGCAGGTTTGTTAAGTGAGGCCCTGGCGTGGGAGTGGTACTGGCTCACGCACACCCCTGTTCCTGTTCCCCCCGAAACCACGCGGAGCCCGCATAGCGGCAATTCGAAAACTCGCCCCCATGCACTCGCGCTGATGCTCGATAACTGCCCCGAGTTTAATCTCATCTGGATGGCCGTCTCCGAGGCAAGTGTTTGGCTGACCTTCTTGGATGTCCTCTACGACGCAAGGCGGCCGCAAACCAAGGCGGAGGCAGAGAGGCCTGTGGTGTATCATCACTGCAGCACGGCCCTCCTTAACACGAACCTCGCAAACCATCGCATGTTGTCGCACAGCCTGGAATGTGCCGCGGCGGAGATTCTGGTGATGGAGCAGAAGTACGTGCCGCTCCTTTTCGCCGACGAGAACGACCCGGCGTCTGGCAAGGGTGAGCGGCGGGAAAGGCAACGAAGCCCCGTGCAGCTGCCATGGTGTGTCCGGAGGGTGTTTCTCTGGCGGGCGGCGCCACCGAGTGTCCCGGAAGCAGCGAAGGGAGTGGAACCGTGGATGCTCGCCGAGGTGCGACGATTCAATGAGGCGCGGTGCCGCAGCGCTCACGGCGATGTCGCGGCCCTCGACCTCTTCGATCTCGTGCGTGCCAACTGCCTTCCACAGACACAGCAGCCCGCATTCCCTATCCTCGCGGCGCGCATTCTTTCCGCTCCCCCGGCTGCGCACGAGCCGACGGCCTCCACGCGGAAGCGGCAGCAGCAGCAGCAGCGGCGGCTTCCCGTCTCCCACATACGGAATACAACAAGGGAGGCCCTGCTGCGGTTTCGCCCAGTGATGCCGGTGCTGCACATTTACACCTCTGGGACGACCGGGCTTCCCAAGGCGGCGCGATTCAGTCACTTGCGGTTCTTTGCCGCCATTTTCCTCTCCTCCGTGCTTTCGCACCGAAACAAGGTGAAGGAAATTGTGCGGAAGCAGCAGAAGAGCCAGGGCCGCAGTGGAGGTGGCAATGATGGCTATTGCTCCACCTTCAAAAGGATGTTCTTGGGAGCTCGCTCCTCCCTCGAGGACGAGCTCAACGTTCTCACTGTGTACAACTGCCTGCCCATGTACCACACGGTAGGCGTCGTTTTCTGCATGGGACACCTGCTGCGGGCGTTGCAGGAGCAGCAGCGTGCGGCGGGTGCGGTGGCGTCGTATCAGTGGGACCCACAGTGCGATAAAAGCAACCTAGGTCGGCAGCAGAGGAAACTGCGGCTGGCGCCGACTGCACGTATGGTAATACGAAGCAAGTTCAGTGCCTCGCGATTCACACAAGACCTGCAACAGTACCGAGTCACCGTGTTTCAGTACATTGGGGAGATACTTCGGTACGCGTTGCACTATGTAAGAACGACAGAGGCTGCGTCTCACACCCTCGACGTGTGCCCCACGCGCAACGGCGTTGCTGTGGACGGCAGCCACGGCAGAAACAACGATATTAACGGTAACGAGAGGGAAACCCGGTGGGTGGTTCCTTTTGCATTTGGTAACGGTTTGCGTATCGACATCTGGGGCGAGTGCAAGGCCGCCCTCGGTATCGCGCAGGTGGTGGAATTTTACAGCTCAACGGAGGGGAATATATTTCTTCTTAACCTGTTCGATATTCCAGGGGTTGTGGGGCACCTGCCGCTCTTTCCTGACCCAATCTACTGGCTCTCCACACAGTTTATCCCGTTCTTTCCCTTCCGCGTTGCGAGGTACGACTTTGAGCAGGATGCGGTGTGGCGTCACCCGGTGACGGGGCTCTCCACCTACTGCGGCGTGGGCGAGACCGGCGAGATCGTGGGGGAAATCATTCAGGGCTTTGACGTCTTTGGGCTGCGACGCTTCGACGGCTACCATAGCGAGGCGGAGACGCGGAGGAACGTGGCTCGCAGCGTCTTCAAGAAAAACGACGCCTACTTTCTCTCGGGTGACTTGGTTAAGTTTGACGCGATGGGGTTCGTCACGTTTGTGGATCGCGTGGGCGACACGTTCCGCTGGAAGGGCGAGAACGTGTCCACGATGGAGGTGATGAACGCCATGAACGAAATGGTGGGGCGGACGGCCGCCGTGCGGGAGGCCGTCGTGTACGGCGTCAGCGCCCCACGCCACGAGGGAAGGGCGGGGATGGCGAAGTTGACGCTCACGCCGCTGGGGGAGGCCCGCGAGAGGGCCGCCGCCCCCGCCGAGGGAGGGACTGGCGCCAACAACGCCCTGCGTATGACCCTTGACGACGAGAAGCGGTTTCTGCAGAACGAACTGTACGGCCTGTTTGCCGGGGTGAAGGGCGGCCCCGCCGCGCTGCCAAGCTACGCCGTCCCCGTGTTCATACGCATAGACGAGGAGGCGACGGGGAAGGGCGGAGGGACCGGCGGGCAATCACGACAGCAGCAACCTCACGCGGCACCGGAGAGCCGGGGGCCATGCAGCCCACCCGGCTCCAGTCCAGGCCGCGACGAGGCGAGCGCCGCCGCCATGTTCAAGTACCGTCGGCACGTGCTTGTCGGCGAAGGCTACAGCTTCGCCCTGTCCGTGTCTGAGCCGGCCGCATCGCGCGTGTACGTTCTTGTGAGAAGAAGAGAACTCTTGACCGCTGTGGGAGTGGAGCCGGTTCCCCCGTCTCTCTCCTGCGGGTACTTGCCGTTGAATGCAAAAACGGTTGGGGCATTTGGCGAGGAGCTGCAGAAATGCGGGTGGTGATCTCGCCCTTCTCACGCTTTGCTTCTGTTTTAATCTGTGTGCATATAGTTATAAGATATATATATATATACTGCGAATTGTTCCCACATGCGATGGTATGGTTTTTTTTCCTTCTCCGCACTTCTTGCATGTGCATAACTCAAATGATTATTTAATTTTTTTTCTTCGTTTGCCCTGCATTGTTGATGGGTTTTTTTTCTGCCGTTCTAACTCTCTTTGTGTGGTCCTCGAATGAATTCCCTCCCATCCCCTCCCATCCCCTCCCACGTGTACCGCGTGCATGCGGCCAGGTGTTGTGGTTGGCAGTTTGCTGATGCATTGGGCCCTTCCCTGCTCTCTTTATTCTTTTCTTTCTCCGATACTCGCACAACCGCGTTTGTTGCCTCTGCTGCGGCCGCCGCTGCCTCTCTTTGCTCGGGCGGTGAAGGGGGCGTGGTAGCATGCACGGCAACACCGCGGACGGCGCTGCTGGGGCATGGACGCGTACTGCAGACCTGCTGGCGGAGGAGCGGAGCAGTCTGCGGTTCATTTTGGACACGCTGCACTTCACATTCGACCACCACCGCCACGCCGCAAGGAGCCTTGGGAGCAGCAGCCACAAAGACAACAACAGCCGCAGCAGCAGCAGCGGCCACAGTCACGGGTTCATCCGTGGCAGCAGTGGTGGCGGAAGCGCCATTGCCTCAGAGGCGGAGGTGGTTGAGCTGCTCGGCATGTTGCCCGAAGTCCTCCGCAGCGCCGTTGCCCCCGCCATGCTGCATCGAAAGGAGCAGCAGCGGCAGTCCATGACCGTTGCTGGCGTGGCACGCCCCCCGCCGTTGTCGCGGCATACCACACTCTATCGTCTTTTGTTTACCCCTCTTTTATTTTCATCCTCCTCGTCGTCCAGGTGCGGCGGGGAATGTGCCGTGCTAGAGTGCCTTGGGCGCGCGTTGATGGGCGGGGGTGGCACGAGCCGTGTGGAGACGCCCGGGATGCCGCCAGAGGATTCTCCGCAGGACTCCATCAGCGCCACGAGAGAAACGACGTGGTTTGCGGGAACTGTCACGCTCGCTGCGCTTCATGCGCTCGGCGACGTTGTCCAGCTGTGCCTGCACGACACCGCTGAGGAGAGGCGCGTCGGTGGAGAACCCTCTACGCCGCTCGACTGCCGTCGCGCGGCGCCCTCAAGCAGAGAAGAGGCCGTTGCGTCGCAAACCGCCGTGCTGCGAGATGCGCTTGGGCACGCCTTGTGTCAAACCGGCCTCTTTGACTATCTCTGGCGCAGCCTGCTTTATCAGCCCGTTGTGCATGCCCAGCGGGTGGCGATGGCGCGGGTGCTCTGCGACGTGAGCCACGCGGGCCTCTTACTGCTGCCCGACGCCATTGCTCGCGCGCGGCAAGTTACGAGCCCCGCCGTCTGGGGGCAACGGGTGGCCGAATGCATCCTCTCCGATCCCAGTGCCCCGGTGAAGGAGTTTCTGGCCGCGATGTTGTACGCGGGGTTACAGTCCGCCCTGGTGGGCGGTGGCCGTCATGCTGAGGACGGCGATGGTCGTGTCTACTGGCGGCGCTGGGTGACAAATCCGTCGCTGCGGTCTCTGCTGGGCGTCGTGGCGACAGGGGCCTCCTTTGCCGTGCTGCAGCCAGTGCTGGGCTCACTGATTTTGGTGCTGGAACACGAGCGGTGGGAGGATGCGGCACGGCAGTGTCCACCCGGCAGATGCGCGCCGAAGCACGTGGACGCCGCAGCAGTGGCAGAAGTGTGTGCCACTCTGCTGTTGCGCCTATTCACAGGTCCAGCCGCCGTGAATTCCCGCAGGTGGGACGAAGATTGCAAGCAACAGTTGCGGCGGTATCGCCTGACCGTTCGGGGTGTGGTGCGGCTGCTGCGCCTCGCGCTGAGAAGCGTCGATCGACTGCTGGACGGCGCTGGCGCAACGCGGCCGCCGAGTGGGGGCGACGACGCCGAGCGCGAGGCCTCCGTGCTGTTGCGCACGTGTGTGGAGAAGCAGCTGCTGGCCGCAGTGATGACGGGCCTGGCGACGCCGTCGGCGGGCTCCCGTGCGTGTGCGTTTGCGACGCGATCCATGCGGGCGGAGATGGTGCGGCTCGTGCGTGACCTGCTCGAGCGGGCCTCCCCGCCCCTGTTTTTCTTGACCTGCAGGCTAGTGCCGTACCTGCCAACGCTGCTGCAGATAATTGTAGACGCGGCAAAGCAGCTCGGCGGCGGCGAGGGTTGCGATGACGATGAGGACGGCCGCGACGAACTTCCGTCCTGCCAGCCGCAGGCGGAGGTGTTGTGCAGCGCCGGCATCGAAACGGTCTCCCTGCTTGGCGTGATGATGTGGCACGCGCCGCTGGTGCGTGAGCGCTTTCTGGACGTGCTTGATGCCCTGCACTGCACGTCCGAGCAGCGAGAGGTGCTCTTTGACGTCATGGAGGCACTTGCCCGTTCGCTGCCGCCGCAGGCAGTGCGAGGCCTCCTCATTGTGGACGCGATGGGCACCGTGGTGAACGACGTGAGTCAACTGCGCGGGGAAGAGCAGCTGCAGCCGCAGCTTGACGTGCTAGCGCGGTTGCTACGGCGGCAGCAGCAGCCGCTGTCGCGCCAGAGTCGGACGGCAGACCGCCTCATGCCCGAGGGTCGCTGGGCGTCTGTGCAGCGGCAGCGGCAGGGCCTGGGACCGCAACACGGCCATGCGTGCCGCGTATTTGTGTGGTTCGTCCTGCACCACCTTCGCGGCAGCGCCAGGAGGCGGGCGCTGGCTGACGACGCTGAGGAGGCGGAGGCGGAGGCGGAGGCGGAGGACGCGGCCGGCGGGGTGTCGGTCTCCCCGATCCAGCCGAGCACCAGTGACAGCACGGTGGGGCATCGTGTCGGTGAGTTCATTGCCGACCTCCAGAAGAGCCCCCGCTGCGGGGGGGATTCCGTTCTTCTGAAGCCGCGCCGCGCCCCCGCCGTGGGGCGGGAGGGGCCGCAGCGTGACGGGGAAGAGGACACGGAGGAAAGTGGCTCTCACGACGACGGTGCGAGCGACACGGTGCGGCTGCAACGCGTGTCTGGCAGTCAGTCCTCAGGCCTCTCGCGGCAGCAGCCACGGCGGGCGATGGAGGGGCACAGGCACATGTTTTCCGCGTCGGTGGGTGGAAATGCGATGGACCCTTTAGAGCACGTACGACAGCGGCAACTAGAGAGCATCGCAGCGGAGAAAACGGCGTACCGCGCGGCCCTGGGTCTGTTTGCGTCCCTGGCGTCACGGTACTACCGGCGTCTCCTAACCCCGCGGGCGGCGCTGGAGTACTTGCACCGCCAGCAGCACAGTGGCGTGCCCCCGCGGCGACGCATGCGTCCTCCCACGTCCACACCTCCCTCCAGGAGCCCGCGTGTGAGCAACAGCAACACCGCACTGCGGCTCTGGACACCCCGCGATGTGTGCCAGGAGGATCTCTTCTACTTTTCCCTGCCCCTCAGCGCAATAACTGAGCAGGCGATAGCTGAGCTCGTGGAGCGATGCAAGCGGCACCGGCAAGTGCTTCACAGGACTTTACAAACCGTGCCGCAGGCTTCGCGTGGGCGTCGTTGGTTCCTGCACGACGCAGCCACAAGTATCATGGGCCGCCTCATCGCGCTTTTTCAGGTTCTCGCGCAGCACATCCAGCGTGAAGGAGAGAAGGCAGTGCAGGAGGCACTCGCGCAGATGCCTCCGCTGCCTCAAGACGAAGGCGATGATGAGGATTTCATTAGCAACGTGGCTAGGCGATGGGCTCGCAGGGACGCCACACCGTGGGAGTTGCATGGTGGCTCCCTTCTAGAGGCGACGAAGTTTATTGTTCGGTGCTTTCCGCGTCCTACGAAACCGGGGGTGGAAAAGGCAACGAACTCCCCTTTCCAGCTGGGTATGGAGCAAACACAGAAGGAAGTATGGGGGAGTGACGAATGCTAGAAGGAAAGATGAACGGAAGCAAAGGGTGCTGCCTATGCCTTTCCGTCTCTCTCTCTCTCTCTCTCTCTGTGTGTGTGCCGCTCCTTTTTCCCTTAGGCGACGATGTTGTGGTATCCCCTCTTTTATTGTGGTTCATTCCTTTTTTCTGCGTGGGAGCCCGGCGGCGCCAGGCGGTTGGGAGGCGCGACGCCGGCGCACCGCCGCCCCCTCACGCTGCGGTTGTGCCTCGTCCCTCGTACTGCTCCCGCCGCTTCTGCTCTTTCGCTTCTCTCTCCCGCACGCGCAGAACGCGGCCAACAGGTCAAGCACTCGAAACAACAGCAACAACACACATATACACACCGCAAACGCACACAAATGCCAAAGA